GTCGAATTCCCCTGACAGTTCTTTTCCCCTTTCAAGTAGTCTTGCGGATCTCACAACCGATTTACTCTCCAAAAATAGCGCAGTTATTGGCATAACTTGAAACGTTCTTGTACTGTAGTCTGTAATTTCCGATTTGTGTGGTTAAGAGAATAAATTGGTGTTATCATTCTAGATTCTAATTTTTAAGACATAGCAATATTTTGGACCGGTCTACCGGTCAGAGTTCCTGCCTACAGATCTAGATGTCCGGGTTCGATTCCCGGCGCTACCAGATTTTCTGAGAAGTAGCGGGTCTGGAACGGGGTCCACTCAGCCTCGTGAGGATAATTGAGGAGATATTTCAAGGTAATAGCGGCTCCGGTATAGAAAATCGAAATTAACAGCCGTATCGACCCGTTACGCTGACCGCGCGACATCCTCTATCCACTAAAGTTGGCACTAACTTCGCCGGCAAGCGGCGGTCGCTCGGTCGGCATAGTTTGCTTTCGGACTACAGGCCACAGAGTTTGTTTTTGGCGTAATTTTGAGTGTCTGGGATATCTTGGATACAAGGTTGAAATCCTCTACTCTGAATGTATTAACCCCTTAAATAAATTGTTTTTAGTACTGCTTCAACAAATGGAGTCGGGTTAGCACAGTCGGTATAGAGACTGACTATGGGCTGGACGACCGAGGGGTGGGAGTTCGAGTTCCGGCAGGGTCAAGAATTTGCTCTTCTCCACGTCGTCCAGACCGACCCTGGGGCCTACCCAACCTCCTATCCAATGGGTACCGGGGGTAAAGTGGCCGGGGCGTGAAGCTGACCACTTACCTCCAGCTAGTGCCGAGTTCAAGAAAATGTGGCTTTATGCATCCGCTTCCCCACACGCCTTCATGGTGAAAGGCTTAATGAGTTAAGCACAAGGAAAATTTTACCTTTTTACTGCTTCAACAAATTGGTGAAATGAACAATGATGTACAGTGGGGAAACAATAAATGCACATAGATTTGTGGTTAGAAACTCTTGGATAGAGATCTTAGAACACAGAACTAGGTGGAAGGATAATATTGTATTACACCTTGAAGTACGTTGTCACTCTGTAAGCTGTAATCGACTGGCTTAGGACTTAAATTATGACATTACTGTACTTCGATTCTGTAATAACTGGGGCCCCTTAAATTGGCTGAAAAAAAACTATCAGTTTCTGAAAGAATACTCAGTGTTGCTTAGATAGCTATTTAATGTTTCAACGATTTTACACACCATTAACAAAGTCGACAAGATTATACTTTAGATGATTTGACTTGAGAAACTGTTGTTGGAATACTACTAAAAACTACTGTGAAAAAACTTCGAGAACTTCTCACGTTTCTCTAACAGTTGTTCAGTAATTTCAAGAGTATAATACGTGTATTATAGCAACCCGTAAAATATTTGTTATTCTTACATGAATACACCCACTTCAATTTCATTCTAGGATTTATGTACTGGAAGTTATCAGTTGTTTGTTCAATGAAACTGTTCTGCAACAAATGCGACTGCACGCTGCAGTTCCCATTAATAACCACGAGCCTAGCTGTGTCGACTGGTCAGTTTGTGTTTTGTGACTCTTAAATTATATGACTCAGAATGCTTTTGTGTGTCCATGGCAACGGCCCTGTGACAGCGGCAAATATTTGCATTCCTTCTGAAACGTACACAGAGTGGGCCATGCAAATAGCTACTGGACAGTTCATTTCATTACTTTTGGGTTTTTGTGGTCTGTAGGGTAATGCTTATTGTCTGTATTCATGCGCGCTTCTGCTTTATTGAATGAACTGGGCTGATATTCACGAAGCCCGGTGGAAAACGTCTGTCATTTGATGTCACGCTAGCCTCATATTTTGAAGTTAATTTCATCGGTAATTATGACAGTGAATCCAACTTTAGAAAAAGATTGATCCTGCCACCATTGAACGTATAGTCCTGAAACTGTGAGTGAAGTCGTGTCTCTGTACTGACCCGAAATATATTGATACAAATACGTCTTGAGTTTTCTCACAGCTGTGGTTATGAACAGTAATATCTTCCGTTTAAAGTCAAGTGACGTTTCGGAGGAACATCTCCATATTCAACGACGAATAAGCCAGGCAAGATATCAGTATGAAAGCAGGTGGCAAGCCGAATCACTTGGCTTGCCATATGCTTTCACTCTGGTATCTTGCTTGGCTTATTCGTCCCTGAAGATGGAGGCGATATGTTCCTTCGAAACGTCGGTTGGCTTTCAACGGACTACAAGGTGTTGTATCCCTGGTGTTCTCCTGTATTGATGCTACTTTGCCAAAATCGGATAGAAGAACAAAGTAACCACCAGAAGTGTTTTGTATTCTTATTACGAGTATTTTCTGTAATCGTAGCATAGCGCACTTCACTTGATCTCGAAGTGACAAGAGGCGTAGATCATTTACACTACAGATTTTAGTCTGTCCCTCTTGATCCATCATCCACACCGAACGCCGTTAGCGAAAATCGCTGTGAAAGCTGCACGGACACAGAGATACGTGTACATTATGATGTGCGCCCCATGGCTGTATAACAGTTATTTGTGCTCATTCTTGTATCAACTCATTTCTGTTTGATTCTATGCGACTGAAGATTTTGAAAATCTGCTCCTTTCCCCACTAATTTAAGAAATATTTAGGCTTATTATCTTGGATGTTGATACTTCAAGATAGGCATGTAATAATAAGTCCTGGAAAGTGGCCCATAAATCAAGCCACCATTTCAAACCCCGTCTATAGTCACACTCAGATACATAACACTATGAATTCGAATGAGAAAAATTATAATTTATTTATTTTTGAGATTAAGAAATTTCGGTAATCTTCGCGTGTTCTGTGAAAACCATTGTTGGTTCTTCGGCAATCTTTGTGTTTGTTCAGAAGATAATTGTTGAATGATAGATGCAGAAGTTAGGAAATGGTCGGTTAACGTTACTTTTATTTAATCTTCTCGAGAACGATAAGACTTACGGAGAAGTCTGTTGAACGTAACATATGTGTTTCATTTCTTCATTGCTTTTGCGATAAATATAGGGTGTCCGGATATAAGGTATCAAAAATAAAATAATTATATCTCAGAAAGCATGTATTATACACATTTATGTGTTACACCATTACAAAGGGAAACTATCAGAGCTTTTTCTGAATATATAACTTTCCAATAAATTCCAATGTGGGCTTCCTTGGTGGCACCACGACAAATACCCAGACGATATTCGACCTCGTTCCACGTTGCTTGAAGTATGTTTGGTGCTACCGTAACCACGGCGTCCCTTATGCGGGCTTTCGGGTGTTGAAGGTCTTTGATCTTAACCTGGTAGTCAATGTTCTTCACATAACTCCACAAGAAAAGAATCCACTGAGGTCAAATCTGGCGACCCAGGAGGCCAAGCGATTGGTCCACGGGTTTTTGTGGTCATTTTCTCCCCTTCCACATTTCGCACCTGCGCTCTCCTGACAAGCCCGGTGAACAGAGAGCCCCTAGCNAAAAAATATGGCAGCGCTTGCGCGGAAGCCGGCTATTAAAAAAAAAAGTTCAGAGTTTTCCTTTCCGACGACATAAACCGGATACGTGTATGACAATTAGTTTCTGAGATATAAATTTTTTATTTTTGATGCCTTTCATCCGAACACCCGATATTAGTGAGCACAATAGCATCCATCTCCCCATGCAAAGTTCCCGTTATATTTGTCTGATTTTAACCAGCTTTGGAATGTGTCATTCAATTTTAAGAAAATTCAAAGTAAGTTCTCATGGAAATCCGTTTCGAGCACCTCTCCTTTTTTCATGCGTACAGAGGGACGGACGGATGAAGTTTCATTGGCCCTCCATTCGGTTACAGGGTCGAAAGGATGGGCGTGTTTAGCCAGTTTTTCGTATTTTGCAATGAAATACAGGCTTAATTTAGCATCCTATATGTGAGTCATCTGCCTTTAGTATCTCTGAATCAATCCACGAATCATAATGAACGAAACATAAGTAGAGGCCACCCTACGATTTTAATTTCTTACCAACACCAACACAAGTACAGCAAACGTTTGAGGTGGGAACTACTTAGTACCATTTATTGTGAGTTTCTGTAACATTTTGTTAAAATTGGTGTTCTTTTCCTATAATGAAATACAGTTTGACGACCGTACGAGACATATTGAGGCTAGATAGCTTTGTATTAGACTGTAATAAAGTAATACACCATGTGAAATACGTATGGATATATTTCGCAGATATCTATAGAAATTATACAGGAAACCACTTTTGTATGTTAGCAATTATACAGTGACGATACGAAAGGCTGTTTCACCTGACACATTAAAGTAGTATGAATCTTTACTACTGTAACTTAGAACGTATTATTATTATTATTATTATTATTAGAGGGGGTGGGTTTCCCCATGCACTTAGACCAGTTATTGGTCCATTGTGCGTCCCCCTTTAATTTCTACTGTCCCCATACCCTACCGGTACTGGTGCGTGCTATCAGTCCCGTTCAGCCAACGAGGTTGGCCGTCGGTACCTGATATTTCCCCCATCTACCAGAGGCGGTGGAAACTACGTGAGCGGGAAATTGTTGCCTAATTTTGCTCAGAGGTCTCCTACAGACATGAGAATCTTTTACGTGCCGTAAATCTACGACACGGGACCCACGGCTTAAAGTCCCCTTCCGAAGGACTTGTTCCCTGAATTTTTCCACGACCTCCGCCGGGTTTAAACCCGCGTACCTTGAGTCATGAGGTGGGAACGTTACCCCTAGACTACGGAGGCCGCTTAAGTTAGAACGTAGGTTGAACACTGATTAGTGTAATTATTATTAAATAATTCTCACTAGTATCACCATATATTCTTAGACTAAATTATCCGACGGTAAGTACATAGACCTATCCCAGGCTCTTAGTGTATATTCTTGTTATGTACGAGTATTACGTGGTAATTGACAAACCGTTTTATCTAGAGGTACTATAGCGTAATGTCATTCATGCAGGAACGAGTTCAGTCCGGCTTATCGGTGCTGGGACGCGGTGCTGTGGCTGGACCGCTGGAAGAAGACTCTTCTGTACGTCGCTTTCTCAATCCTGCTCTTCATTTTCCCACATCGACTGTGGCTCGCTTCTGTCGCAGGTACGCAAATCTTCGTGTTGTTTCAGTTACACAGAAATGAATGATATTTTTGTAATTTTTATTGCTAGTGGGGAGGGACTAATTCCCTTGTACTGCGGCCAATTCTGGCCTATTGTACCAGCCCCAGATGATAGGTGAGGGTGATTGTGGAGCAATTGGTGGCATGAAGATTGGCAGGAGAAACCGAAGTACTCGGAGAAAATCTGCCCCAGCGCCACTTGTTCACCACAGATCCCACTTCACCAGACCCGGGATCGAACCCAGGCCACTGCGGTGGGAAGCCAGCGACTAACCGCTTGAGCTAAGGCGCGGCTAAATGAATGGTAATTAGAAAAGTTCTTGGAATAAAGCAAATATGACACAATTATAGAGACTGAAACGTCCCAAATTCTGTGAAGGGCCTGAAGAAATACATGAGACCCCTTCTTCCCCTCCCTATAGCAGGCATGCGATTCGAGATTTTATTCCAGGATCTCCCCAGTACAAATCAGATTGGATAAGGCGTGAAAGGGGTTCCAGCTAAATACTTTTTTTTATATGAACTGGATGAAAGGAACTCAGACGTTGTCCGCTGGGAAGCTCCGCGGACATGAAACTTGATGTTCCATGACAAGAAATTACTGAGTAGAATAATACGTTCGAGTCTCTGCTATCGGGCGGCTTGTAAGGAAGCCTTTTGTATGATTTTCCGACACGGCATCACACTTTCTGCTATGTTCTGGACACTGCACTCAAACATTATGTTGAAACACGGCGTGGGGAAATCAGGTACATGCGAGTTTCCGAACGATATCATACGTTGACCTGGGCGCAGATGCGAACTAACACTGAAAACAGATAACAGAGTTTGTAAAGTATAGATTCGTACTTCATGAAATTCTTTTACTGAATTACGGACTACGCTAGGCCGCGCCATAGCTCAAGCGGTTAGTCACTGGCTTTCTAACGTGGCGGCCCGGGTTCGATCGCGGGTCTAGTCAAGTGGGATATGTGGTGGACAAAATGGCTCTGGGGCAGGTCTTCTCCGAGTACATGGGTTTCCCCTGTCAATCTTCATTCCATCAAATTTTCCATTATCATAATCACCAGGGGCAAGTACAATAGGCCAATCAGGGGCCGACGTGCCGAGTGGACACAGCTGGACTACACCCCCCCACTATGCGAATTAAAAAAAAAAAAAAGAGGAAAATGTTAGGATCGAACAAGGGCTTCTGACTTCTTGCACATCCAGTCAGATTATATCCCGAGTCACCCAGAAAACATGTATAATATTTTTATAATTCAGAACAGCTCAGTCTGTAAAACACTACGGACTTGACAGCAGAGCCTCATTTGTTGTTAAGAGGAAGGACTTTCCTCAGCTTGAATATCGCAGTGTCCAGAATGACTCGCAGCTGCAAGCATCCTTCTGTTCAATGGAAGCGAAAAGAGTCGAGTTAATAGCTGACAGCTCAGAACGATAGTATACGTTATGAATTTGCAGAGGTTTACTTCACGCCTCCTACACATTTTGTATTTTCACAACAATTGTAACTTACTGCTGAAATGTTTATATATGTCAAATGAAAACGGGTCAGAAGCCAAAACATATTAAAGAACATTTCTTACCTCAGAAGTAATCTCCAAAACTGTTAATATATTTATCCCGCTAGGAGATAAGACGGTCAATCCCATCCTTGAAAAAGCTTGTGGGCTGCCTACGGAACCACATCTTTACCCAGCCACACACGTCTTCGTCCGATGCAAACCGATGTCCACGAATGTCTCTCTTCAGGTCTCCAAAAATGTGAAAATCACATGGGGAGAGATCTGGGCTGTAGGGGGGACGTTGAAGCACTTCCCAACCATATCTCTGTAGTGTATTCCTCACAGAGTTGGCAGTGTGGGGGTGCACATTGTCATGAAGAAGGGTTATGCCGTTCGTTAGCATTCCAGGGCGTCCTGATTTTATGGCAAGGTTAGGTTAGTTTTCATTCTATGTGCATCTCCTTCCTCTTTGCTATTACTTTAAGTTAGGAATCAACTACGGTTTAAATGAAATCCGTTATTAAAATTAATGCTATTTCTAAAGAAAATTTCTTCGTGGTATTTGAGACTTTTCTCGTATTTTTGATAATGTGTCCAATATTTAGTTTCACTGGTGCCCAAAATAATATTTAACATCTTCGATTTCTTTACATAAGGAAGACAAACTCCTCCCAGCATGTTGTATGCTTCCCTTTAGTTTCAAGGCTCTCAAGCTGATCACTGTATATTTCTTCTTCTGCTTTTGTTCTTGAAATATTCCACTTTGCCCCACTTTGTTCTGACTCTAGAGTAAAATTTGCGACGAAATTGCAAGCATTATATAAAACATGTTCTGTCTCTCTGTATAATTACATCTCATTTCCATGACGCTGTTTGTGTCCAGTGATTCAATTAATTGGTAGCATTCGAGATAGTGATCCTTCCTCCTACTCGTATACATGCTTTCGTGTCTGTATATATACTGCATTTCAAACAGATCATAGGACTCGGTCCATGGAGACCGTTCGTGCAATTGCAATGACTGCCATCAAATTAGTTCTTCTGCAAGATGTAAATACCCTCAGAGAATGCTGCTTACTGCCTGTCTGTGTACGTTTTATGGGCTTAATTTGGAATAAGGTAACCTGTTTTCATGAAAGTAGATAGAAAGGTCACTTTACTGTGGAATATCTGTTGCCGGGATAGCACAGTCGGTTTGCGACTGTCTACTGCCTGGACGACCTAGTGGTCAGGTTTCGAGTCCCAATAGGTTCAAGAATTTTTTCTTATCCACGTCTTCCAGACCGGCTCGGAGGCCCAACTGGACTTCTAACCAATGAGTACCAGGACTAAAGCGACCTGGACGTGAAGCTGACCACTCACCTCCAGTTAGTGCAAAGTTCAGGAAAATGTTGATCTTTACATCCACTCCCTCATACGCCTTCACGGCGTAGTGCTTAATTACGTAGTTAAACACCTGACAAATTTACCTTTACCTTACCTTTATTGGATAATATCCAGAAGTCATTTTCTTTCAATTCCTGCCTCCAGGAGCCGGAATAGCTTAGTCAGCGTAGTGACTAGACACTAGTTTGATGCCAAAGAATTGTGATTCTGTTCCTCTCAGGGGTAAGAGATTTTTCTCTTGTCCATAGCTTCTATATTAGTTCTGAGTCCCACTCATCCTCCTATTGAATGGACATCGGACTCTGTTTTTCTCGAGGGTAAAGCGACGGAGACTGAAGCTGACTATTGCTTCCATCAAACACCGAGGATAAGAAAGCGTGGAGTACAGCTCCATTCCCCCATACATCTTGGTGGGTAGTGTTTAATTAAGCTCAGTAAAAACTCTACCTTCTATCCTATTTTTTTTTCCTTGGCACTACAGCCCCAGTGGGCCTAGGCCTACCTCCAGGAACTCCGTTCACTTCGGTTTTTCTCGATCTTACACATACGGTAGGACTACTTGGGCGAGTGATCAGCTCGTCGCAAGGCCTCTACCTGTAGACAAACACAGAAAAACGCACACAAACATCCATGCCCTGAGTGAGATTCGAACCCACGATCCCGGCTTCCGAGCGAGCGAAGACAGTACATGCTTTAGACCGCTCGGCTACCGTGACCGGCCCTTCTACCCTATTACCTTTATTAATTTTNCACATAGCCCATGGTATTTTCCTTCCGACATTTTATTCGACTCTGGCCAATTTATGCGGTTGATTCAGGGTCCTTAAGTATCCTATGAATCATTCAGTAGTAGTCTTAGCCATTAATGTTGTGTATGTGGGCAAATAAGTACCTTAATATTTTAATTAGCTGAACATCTTAGCCGTACAGCAGTTTGCTTGCATTCGGGTGGCGTAAGTTCGAATCTCTACTTGTGACGTCTAGCCTGGCAGGCTACCGCAATTTCCTCGAAACTCTACAGACAAAAGCTGGAGTACTATCTGATCGCAAAGTGGTTGAAGAACCATTTCCTATCCCCCCTCCCCTTTCCTTGCTACTACCGTCATGTCACCGTATCATATATACCCTTGACACCGTCGTATGCTATCTGATCTCCGGGCTAGAAACTGCAGTCTCTATACCTCCACAGTTGATAGAAAACAGTCAGATTTGAGGCCGTTAGTCTTCAACTACGTTTTATTAACGTATCAGGACCTTTCCATAGATGGATTTAAGCAAGTGATCGTGCTATGTCTTCTTGCAGGCATAATGCTGGTTCTGCTGGCCAGTTTATACCTCCTACTCACGTGCAAGACTCTCTTCGAGACCAGAGACACGCTGCTTCAGAGCAGGGAGGAGAGTTATGATAGGTGAGTGGCGTTACTGGTCCCACTTATACAAGAAGAAGTCGTATTGAACAAAATCTCCACAGAAGTAATAACTTCATTAGTGACTGCTACACATTAGTGGCTAGAATGGTAGATTGTGCTGCAAACGTTGAAATGTTAAAGAATAATAACTTATTAATAACAATAACAGTTTAAATGTTTCATAACTTGTACTCTCCTCCAAGTATAATTAGCATGATCAAGAAGAGGAGTGCATATAGGTTGTTGGTGGGGAAGTCAGAAGAAAAGCGACCACTGGGAAGACCAAGGCGTAGGTGGGTGAATAATATTAAAATGGATCTTGGAGGGATAGGATGGGATGGTACAGATTGGATTGATCTGGCTAAGGATAGGGACCAGTGGAGGGCTCTTGCGACACGGTAATGAACCATCGGGTACCATAAAATGCTGGGAAATTCTTGAGTAGCTGCAGACTTGGCGGCTCCTCAATAAGGGCTCAGCTCCATTAAGTAAGTAAGTAAGTAATAATTTAAATGTATATAGGTGCAGAAGTTTCCATAAACCCTTCTTTAAACTGAGTGTTCTAAGTGTTTATGACACACCTTTGCTGAGTTAGTTATGAAGTTTAGTCTTCCATTACAGAACAAGAGTAGCTTACTGATGGACAGTTCAGGGACTACCATGTGTGAAAAACACATTGTCAGTCTACCAGTCAGCTTTCTTTCCTTATCTTTTTGCTTACACGCTCATATGCCACGCATAATCATGCCTTCAAAATTGAGCTACTCTGCCACTGTAACGACCCATATTTCTGTTTATTCCTTCTGTGCTTTATGTAATTACTATCAGAACTAGGACAACTGTGGCTTTTCGGAAATATATGTGGTTGAGCACGCCTGTTTTCCATCTGGTCCCATATCTGTGCCGACAGCTGGAATATACAAGTTATGAAGAGCCATATGGACATTGTGGTCCCTGGACAAGAATAGGAGATGGTGAAAACTACAGTGGCGTTGGGAATTATTGACCCTGGTTCCTGACAGTATAAATGATTGTACACGAGGGTTCAAAATCATCGGTGCTCTTTTAAAATAACTTTTAAAAAATTGCAAAACTTCTTTTAAACTCTGTAATAAGATCAAAATTATAATAATGAAATTATGGTTTCTAATTCGGTTTTATGATCACCGGGTTAGTATTGTGGGGGTACCTTATTTTATGGTGTCTTGCAGTCACTTCATTCGTCATCTTACCCCATCAGTTACATGTTCGCAGAGGGACAAGTATTTTTTTTATATTTTGAAAGGAAAAGAATCTTGTGAATATTTCTTAAAACTCAGCTTTCTATCCATATGAAATAATTCGGCATTAACTGGGTGCCATATGGTGCATGAGATGTACATTAATATGTTTAGATCAAATCTGGCTTTGATCCACTTATATCTGATGATGCCACATGTTGAACAAGAAATTCCTGATCACGACACTTTCAAACTGTAAACCATTTGTACGACAGTGTTTAAATTTATTGTTGTTATTCTATTATAGAAATGAGTCATGTGGGTCTGACAGAGTTGCCAGCACAGGTGTGTTCACTATTGTCACAAAGTAAAACATTCCTCCTTTTTTGCAGGTTTGAGGACATACCTGAAGTGATTGATGACTCTTTGCCCGGACCGATGCATGACAGCCTGTCTGATAGTTTGGTGGACCAGGACGTGATCTTGGAGATGTGACAAGCCCCCTCCCGTGCGCTCGACTCGGGCAACTGGAGCGAGGGCTTCAGCATGGACAGTGACAACAATCAGAACCTGAGTAGCTCCTCAGCCAGCAGCAGTTAGTTCACAGGAAACAGCTACCAACATTTGTTTCCTTGCTGTAAGAATGATACAAAGTCTACAAATTCATGTGCATCAGCATTTTTAGCATCTCTGATCATTTTAAACTCTTTTAGAGAAGATCTTTTTACCTTCTGCAAAAGAATAAAGGCAATGTGGAAGACAAATAAAATTATCATTAAACAGATAAAGATAGACTGCTAAAGTGAAATCGTATGAAAATGAAAATTTATTACTTTCCTGAAATGCTTTAAAAAAATATGAAGGACATTATTATTTTCAGGTAGGCTGGCAGATAGGGCCTAAATAAAAGAAAGACCAATTTCACAAGAGAAGGAATTTCTAAATGTAAAAGACAGAACAGAGGACATGAAATTTCAGGCCTTTCATTAAAATTTACATGTTTTTAATATTCTGCTAATACGATAACAAACGGAATATTTTCGGACTAATCAAAGACTGTAAATAGAATTGTGTTTTACTGTTGCTGTATGTCTTAAGATTGGAGTTAAAGTCAGATACTATAATATATATTAAGATTGTAGATTTATTTAAATGTGGGTATTTGAATCTGACAAATCCAAGACTGATCTTTATTTCCTTGCAACAAATCTGCAACTTCCTTCCGTTAAAGACCTGAGAAGTCCAATGCACTATGAATGAAAAACAAGTTTACTCTCCTTTAGAAGTGTTAAGGGAAAAGTATGTATGCAAATTGTATTTCTGATAGGGGTGTTACAAATATTTTTATACCACCCCTGCATATACTGTAGTATAGCTCTAAGTCCAACCACTAGGTACCAAAGACTTCTTCTAGTGCCAAAATGGAAGATGCTCAAAAATGTATCTCACATGCTCTGTACATATCTTCGTGACATGGTTCTTAGCACCAGAAAACCTGTATGCTTTCGTATGTACCGGAAGTGAACGTTTGTATACTAAATTCTAGTGGAAGATATCAAGCAATGATATTTTCTTTGGGCAGCTAGACAATACTTCTGTTTCATAAACTGTCACTCTAATCGTCATTAATTCATGACAGTGAGAGTTTCCAAAAGGGAAATCCATTCCATTCTGATACAGCTGACTGTTCAAAACTAATTGCAATTAGGATCACTCACAGTGACAATTTCAAATCTTACATCATTTCAGAAACTTTTAAATGTTTCAAATAATGACACTGAAATACAGTTGTAATGACTGCAGCCTGTATGAATTTCACAGACTCTGGAAGAAGATACATGCCAATCCTATAGCGTGAACTACTATGGGCCCTGTGTATGTGCAACAGTTACTACTTGCAGATACATTAACTAAACTTACTGCCAAAGAAGCTGTAACACCATGATTTAAGGTTTATAAAATAAATACATTCAGAAGCTCCATAAAACCAGACTGTATCAATATTAGGCATTCTTTACAAATTAAAGAGGAACACCTAATATGGAGGTCATATTTGTCTGTTCGTAAGCTAGTATTGCCACCTGAATCTCTTGACAGATTTTCTTAAAACTCAACATGGGAGACTTTTAAATAAAAGTTGTTAGACCATTATGATTTGCAGCCATGTTGATCTCTAATAAAGCTTGGTTTATATAAGCCCATAAATGGATTTTTCATATTTTGTATTCATAGATTATTCAATAAAGCTTTCATTATTGAGATCATGTAGTGTCTGATGGTTGGATAACTGATGAATTTGTAAGGATTTGCAAGGAAGTACTCATGGCCTAATCGATGTACTGTTCCAGAATTCACCTGTAGGGACTGAGAGAACTATGGAAAAACTCAGTCTGGATAACCAGTATCCTAGCCAACATTCAAATCGAGCAACTACTGAATAGAAGTCTAGATTATTACTTCTAGATCAATTTGTTCAACCCTTTCCCTCATGATTTACCAACTGCTTTTTAGTTATTGTTGAAATCCGATGTAGGAGACTTTCACCAAGAGTAGTAGGGAATTCTGATTTTCAGCCATATTAATCCATAAAAAAGCCCAGTTTGCATATAATAATATGAGTAAATGAAATTTTCCATGTATCCCACAAACCCTCTACAGAATTTTTGGAATTTAATTTGGGAGGCTTTCATTAATTTCCTTTTTATTGTCTCTATTTTTGTGTAATCTAATGGCCTTCAGAGAGTGCTGCTGGTAAAATATGTAATATGTTATGGAGTACACAATTTCCAATTTTGTTAATTCCAGTCTGTGGTTATGAGTGTAGGTCCAATATGTAAATTTCATCACTGAATATTCTTACTGTTAATTGTTGGTATCTGAGGGCATTCAGTAATATAAATTTTCCCTTCCTTATATCTCACAGTGAGAAGGCGCTTGTGGTGCTTTGTATAAAGTATCTTAAAATATGCAGAGTTGCAACACTTTTCTAAAGACAAATCTGGAGGTAAAATGCTGTGAATTAGTAAATTCTTGGAAGCCCCTTTTATTTAATAGAAGACTTGGTGGCCTCATGAATAAAGACCAAAGGTAAAGTCTGAAATGTCTTCCATTATATGTTACTCATTTTTTCTGTGGAATGAATCATAAATGAGCTTGAACTTAACTTCCATCTTAAACTGATATGATGAGTGTAATCCTACGAAAATTTAGGTAGCATTATCCTATAACAATATAACATACACATATAATCCTTTGAAAGGACATGCATTTTAACTACTGGTTCATATTTTCAGTTGTCAATTGCCAGTCCTTGTTACCCTAATTTCCAGAATGGAATGGAGGCCATAACTTCTTTTTTGTGTCACCCACTTGATGGACTCAGGAGATGGACATAAAAAGGAAAGGAAAGAACTTACAGAGAAAAGCAAGAAAGAATGAAAGATCTATCATATTGTGCAGCTTGAAATAGTTATAAGAATATCTTGTACAGAGTACACGTTCTGTGAAATGGTTATTTTTATTAGTAATGCTATTTATAGAGTTGAGCAGAAAACTAAAAAATTTCAAATCAATTGACTCTTCTGGGCTTGCTTCCAGAGAAATTATTCCATTTGCTTTGAATTTCTAAGTACCGGTTCAGCCAAAACAGTGACAGTTTGTAAGAATTACAATATTATATTTAAGCATCCTGTTACACTCTATACGATATATGATATAAAGTCCGTCCTAAGTGTAACAATTTATTGTAGGTCTTTCGTCTTGCTTTCTTCTACACTACATGTTTTGGCCACAAACGGCCATCATCAGGTGTATACACTCACGTAGCTGTCACACTGCACCCAGTTTAAAATTAAAAACATACAGGTCTTCCCAATTGTTCCCTTCGTCACTGCTAACAGGATCTACTTCGCTGTTATTTGTCTGATTCGTAGCTCATCTTTGCCACCCACACACATCAATTTTGACCTTCATGAACTGCCACTTTTAAAATCTTCAGTTCCAACTTTAAAANGTGTGTGGGTGGCAAAGATGAGGTATGAATCAGACAAATATCAGCGAAGTAGATCCTGTTAGCAGCGACGAAGGGAACAATTGGGAAGACCTGTATGTTTTTAATTTTAAAATGGGTGCAGTGTGACAGCTATGTGAGTGTATACACCTGATGATGGCCGTTTGTGGCCGAAACATGTAGTGTAGAAGAAAGCAAGACGAAAGACCTAAAATATATTGTTGCACTTAGGATGGAGTTTATATCATATATTGTAGGAATTGGTTTGGCTGAACTGGTGTGAATTGACTGCAGCACACCCTTAATCTTACATGTGTCCTAGAAGTCGTAAGTCATGCATTTATTATGAAGAAATTGTCGAAGTACTTGGTCTCACCAATTGCCCATGGTACTGAGTAATTAAAAGTGAATGCAAGGCTGTAACATAACTTTCAGATGAAAATATTCCATAATTTTCTAATTTATTTCACAATCCTTTATCAATTTCAGAGGTTATGCAGCATTGAATAAGAAATGATTGATTATGAGAAGCAAATTGAAAGAATATTAATGGAAATATTCATGGACAATTTTGATTTGAGGTACAGCCCAAATATTTACCTTGTGGAACTAAGACCAAAGAGCAGTTACAACAACCAATCCCAGTCACAGATGTGAACAATGTACCTTCTGAATGAGCCAGAAGCTCAGTCTCAAAACTAATTCTCTTGGTAAGTTATTACATCAAAGGCAACTCAGTAAGAGTAAAAATATGACTACTACGAGTGGCAGTGGTGGTGGTAGTACTAGTAGCAGTAAGAGTGGTGGTGCTGGTAGCAGCAGAAACAGTAGTAGTAGTACTAGTAGTAGTAGCAGCACCACTATTTGTTATTCAGGAGGTGCTGGGTTCAAATCTCTGTTCCAAGAGCTGTTATCCTGATTGAGGTTTGTCACGATTTTCCTCAGTTCATCTGGGCAAACAACCACTAAATATTTCTTCCACAGTCTTCCTAATTCATTGTTCATTAATTGCCCTATTATCCAACTCCATGTAGAAAAAAGTTGTCCCTGTGCTTAACTAATGAATCATTGTATCATGAAGGCATATTGGTGAATGGATATATAGATCAACGTTTTTTGACCTTGGCATTAATTGGAGGTGAGTGGTCAGCTTCAAGCCCCGGCCGCTTTACCCCCAGTGAAGGATCTGAGCAACTGACAGAATTGTTAAATAAGTAATAAATAAGTAAATTCTTTGGCCTTCTCATCCAAGTCTCTCGGCTTCATAATTTCTACAGTTACAATTATTTTAATTCTGATAATAACGTTTTTCATCATAAGGCTTTTAAACACAATTCTTCTATCCATGTTGGGGAACAATACAGGGAATTTCCATACTTAATTTCAGCTTTCAATGTTGAAAGTATAGAGTTCTGTGACATTATATTACTTCAAGCGGCTCTGTGATCTCATTGCATTAAACTGTGCATACACTTACTTCCTTGGAGACACCATAAAATTCCACTATAGCAACATACAAGTATATTTGGGAAGAGTTATAGAAAATAATTGGACCTTTATTTTCCTTTATGAGAATCAAAAACTGGAATGAGACTAACAAGTTTATAGAGCAGAAACAAATGACCAGTGAGAATGAAATTCCACTTGTCTTGACAATTTAAGTAACGTGTGGCTCAAAAATATATTTCTGTTACAGCTAACAATATATTGCTGTTTTACAAAACAATTCTACAAATTTTTATGATATTTAATATTGCTGATTGTGAGTTGCAAGGTTTTGTTTTAGCACTGATACAAAATGGAGCCTACATGCACTATGAATTACTTATAGAATATGTTCACAGTCTTGTTAGACAAAAGATTGATTCATTCCCAGATAGCTTCCAATGGTCTACCAGAATTCTGGATGTAAGTCACTGACCTTAAAGGCGTAAGACCTTGTCCTATTTAATATCCATTTACCAGTTAGTTATGACCTCCAAATCTCTCAATTTTGCGCCTTGTCCTGTTTTAGGGTTAAATTGTTGTGTTTGAATGAATGTTCTTCACAGTTTATCAAGATCAATGAAAGCGCATAAACTCTTAAAACTGTTCCTCCAGTTTAGATCCATGAATGATGCTCCATTTGAAGGGAAAAGAGTGCTTATTGATTTTTAACGACTGTCTTTCATACAGATAGGCATCATATAGTTCTGAATTTAGAAGATATCTACACAATTCTTCAGTGAAAGAGAAAAATACAGCTGCAGATGAAAAAAAATTAAGAACAATGCATTCAACAGATATCTGAATACTGCTGTGTAATAGGGCTCCAAATTTCATTTCTCAAGAAATTTTTGTCACATGACAGTATCATTAATGATTAATGTGCTAAACATATAAAAGAAACACTAAATTTCTGACAGATAATTTAAGGAAAGTAAATTTAACTTGTAGATGAAAATTACTCATTTTCTGAACTTTCAATTTGACCTGTCCCACAAGTGTGTTATTGTGATGCTGCTGCTGTACTGTAGAGTGTTTTGTAGCATGAACTAACATGTAGTTGAAGGGGCTCTTCACTTTGCCCATCAGTCGTAACATAAATTTGTAGAATGCAACAGTAGTCCCTGTTTTTCAGCAGAGTGATTTTGCTGTGAACATTGTTTGACCTGAAAAACACATTGCAATTTGAAATAGTTCTACTAGCTTCTCCTGTTAGGCACATGCTTTGTTTCTGTCTCTTGACAATACAAGCCAAATATCTGGGGCGTTATATGCAAATAAGCATTCAAAACGAAATACTACCAATTACTTATGACATACAGTATAGAAGGAGTTACATTGAAATGTGTTCATCTTTTTATGAAACAAATTTACCTGCATGAACTATTAATTCCTGCATTGTCCATTCAATTAATTATACCACCCAAATTTATTGAATAAAATTTAACTTCTAGTGCAATATTTTGTCACAGTATGACAAATGATTGAAGAGAACATGGGTTGATACTTAGGTGTTACAGAAAGTAAAACATGCTGAATATATTTGTATATGTAAAGCATGGCTCTAACAGATGATACTGTCATGTTGCAGTTATCTGAGTCAAAGTCACACTTTTTAAATAAATTTGTTTCTCAAGCTGACTCCAGATATATAGAGGTTTCAAAGGGTAGGGAAATCAAAATGCATTTGTTTAGGGGTAAATACTATTAGATTAACTCATATAGAAATCTAAAAATGTGCAGTGATTTTTCTATTCACTAAAGAGAACTCTTAGTCATATCATCTGCAGTGAAGAACAATACCATAAAACTGGGTTCAAATGTGAGTATGAAACATATGTACAAAATGGTGTGCTTGTATAATTAATTACCTATCATTACATATAGGCTAGAGCAGACTTGTTTGTAAATGATCTCATCTTGATCAAGGAAATAATAACTAAAACAATTAATTCATCTTAGAAGGATCTGGTTTCTGGGTTTCTGAATTTAAAAGACAAGGGTTTTCAGTTACAGATTTTACTGTGAATTCAGAGCTATGTCTTGCAGAAATTTATCGTAATATGTGAAGCTTTTGCACGAGTATTCCATCTGTTATATTTGCTTTCTCTATACCTGTAACTTTAATGTTGTCTTCACAGTAATTTGTAGCATGTAGTCTTTTCTATGATATAAGTACATTTTACATGATGAGAACATAATATGCAGGCTCTGTGACTTGGTGATTGTATTCTTTCTGGATTTCTCAATATATGGAGCAGTGCTGAAGTAAATACGTCATGTGAGCATCTATTACAGACCCTTCATGAGTA